GGTGTGGATCTTATTTAAGTGAAACATTCATATTAAAAATTTGCATGGAGAGACCATTCTATTAAGAATCTATTTATGATTGCAAGTTAAGCAAATAATTACGGTCCTTTAAAAAAAATTACTTAAATTTCCTCCAAAAATACAACTATACTAAAAACATGAAATAAAACAGTAGTTATCATAGTTAATTAAAAAGATTATGCGTCATATATTAATATAAAACAGTAGTTATCATATTAAATTTAAAATCCCATTCATACATACCTATCGGTATCAAATTTAATATACACACCCCACCTCCGAATACAATTCCACACAGTAAACTCGAGGCTCGATCCCATCTCAAGGTTTTTCGTGCCTTAAACCATTCTACTTAATTCAAACATCTACAGTGTTTAGTGGTATCTGGTAAGTCCCAACATTAGTATAATAGAAAATATGTTTTGGTCGGTTCTAATTTCGTTGGAAGATACGTATGCAGAAAATAAATAGAAACGTGAAGATTAAAAAGAGGATGGTGATTTAAAGTGTTGATGAATTTGCACCGTTGGATTAGATGGAAGAAGACCGTTGAGGCCGTATAGTTAATGAAGATCAGATTTTCGATTGTATTTGTACGTGGTCCATTCTCTTCCTACTCATACTATTTTCTTTAATTCGATAGAGAAATGTCCACGATTTTTGTTTTGTTTTGTTAAAGTTAATAAAAATGGCCACAAAGTTAGTTAGAAAAACTCTATGAGAATGCTCCACCTATTTATTTTCACGGAACCAATATTTACTACTATACTTATAAATTTATAATGCAATATCGCACGGGGAAATTATGTTAGTTTCGGGATATAAATCGTATTTGAACACAAACAACACAAACATTGTTTACGTAAAATAAGCCTACAATCGAGTTCACGTTGTAGAACAATATGGCCCATATAAATACGTGTACATTTAGTCATTTTACTATATTGTGTACCATTGCATTTGCATAAGTGTGTATATATATTAAATAATTAGTCTGTTTACTAATTTTTTTCCACGTATTAAAAAATGACGAATTATACCAATAGAGTTCGTTTCATTGCTAGTGATAGCTATCAATAACATGTTTGTAAACGAGTACTAAGGATAAC